CCCAAAAGAAAAGAAGTAAATATTTCAAAGGGATGCCAGTACTCGCATGTTTATTACAGCAGTATTCACAGTAGCAAAGATATGGAATAAACCTAAGTGTTTATCAGTGGATGAATGGATAAAGAAAATGTGGTACATATACACTGTGGAATACTATTCAACCATAAAAAGGAATGAAATCCTGTCATTTGCAGCAACATAGATGGAACTGGAGGCTATTATCTTAAGTGAAATCAACCAAGCACAGACAGACAAATATCACATGTTCTCACTTATATGTGGGAGCTAAAAATTGTGATCACATGGATGTAGAAAGTGGAAAGATAGATAACAGGCTGGGAAGAGTGAAGTTGGGGCAGAGAAGGAAGGATGAAGAGAAGTGTGTAAAGGGTGCAAACATATGGTAGAAGGGGTAAGTTTAATGTTTGATAGCAGAATAGAGTGACTGTATCTGACCAAATAAATGTACTGTACTCAGAAAATAGACACCGTAAATACCTTGACTTGATCACTGCACCTTATATGCATGTAACAAGATTTCTCATGTACAATAAATTTGTATAAACAAACACATTTGTCTTTTCTCATATTTGTGTTGAACATAGTAATTGCAGTAAATTATGTACCAGAGGAAATTTAGGTACTATGTATTCACACATGAAGAAAACTTCTCACTTTATTTTCAAGGGCAGAAAGCCACTTTGCTGATTCAGTGATGTAGATAGCGGCATGTTCCTCTATTTTGTTGTTAACCTCTTTCGGCTTCTAATGATTTTCCTTTGATCATTTGCCCTGTTCTTAAGATTGCCTTTGACTGGCTCTGTCCCACATATTGAATATCTTTGAGATTTCTATTTACAGTTTATCTACTTTATTGGCCCCTGTTATGTCTTTACCTTCCCAGTTTATATTGCTACTTTTGTCCCACTCTTTGTCATTACCTTTTTGGCCGCTCACTTTCCTGTCTTAGGCTGTCTGGAGTTTGCTGGTGTCAGTCCTTGTACTATACTTTTAGTTTACTGCTTCCCTAAGGAAATCTTCAACTATCCTGAATCATAGATGGACACACACCCCTCCAGCTAGAAGTTACATTTAAAATACCTTTTCTCACATAAGATCCTTTTTGATAATTGACACAAGAGTAATAAAGTGAGCTTACAGTATTGGCTTTCCAAACCATTAGAATTGAGTTTGTAATCCGTAAAACCTAGAGATAAGTGTCTTTAAACAGACTTTTTAAAAACAAAGATAAAAGAGCAGTTACTTCTAACATATAAAGTTGCATTTAGGGCAAAGAGGAGAATATTTTAGAGCCAATTGCTTTGTTTACTGGCTGCATATGGCATCTGTGGGGAGGCAAGTGGTTTCCACTTGGAACAGTAACTTTATCCCTTTGTAGAAGCTATTCTTGTCAAGTCACCAGTGTTTTCATTTTGCCAAATGCGGTGGTATTTGGTTAGTCCTTGTTTTATTTGACCACATTTGACACAGTTGATCACTCTCTCACTGTTGAGACCACTTTCCATACTTACAGGACACCACAGTCTCCTTGTTTTCCTTCTACCTCACTTATGGTTTTTAACTTTTTTTTTTCTTTAACTTATTTCTCTAATCTCCATGTTGAAACCTACAGTTGAAAAATGCCCTAAACAGTTCTTACTCCTCCTTTTTCCTCTGTACTGTCCCCTGGGTGATTCCATCTGAGATCTTGGTTTTTACATATTATTGCTATAGTAATTGCTTTATTTTGAACTGGAGTCTTCTATCTTCAATTTCCTTGTCAGCTTTTAAAATTTAGATCACTAATAGACATTTCCAACTTATCATCTCCAAAACTGAATCCTTCTCTCTTCCCAAGCCTGTTTCTTCCATGGTCATTTCTGTTTCAATAAATTACAATTTCATCCTTGAAGTTGCTCAGGCCCAAAACCTTGGAGTCAGTCTTGATTCCTCTTTCTCTCAAAGAAATTTCCATCTTTTTTCACATCTGTATATCTAGTACCACGAACGGTGCCTGGTGTATAGTAGGCATCAATAAATAGGCTTTGAAGGAATGAAGTATGTGAGCCAATATCAGGGTAAACTGCCTGATATTGCCCAAAGATGGAAACTTTAGTTAACTAGGTGCTCTCAAGAAGATAGAAGCTCCTTATTTTCTTACCCTTATTAGCTCAGAGGGAGGTTGGTTTTGTAATATATCACAATGATTTCTATAACATGCAAATTAAGAGAGATCATATGCTACATTTTTGGAACATTAAGTAGAGCACAGAGATTACTTCCTTATGACAAATATCTCACTTTTGTTTCTCATTTTTTGAGTATTAATATCTCCAGTTGACAGAAGTTGTAGGTACTCAGTAATTATTTTTTTAGTGAATGAATGATTCTAATATACATCTTGATCAGAATTTTGGAAGTAGGATTTATCCTATTCTCTAAAACCTGTTGCTCTTCTTACATTTTGTATGTCTGCTAATGGTACCACTTTCTATCTAATTAAACAACAAAAGTGGGAAGCCTCTTGTAAATGCTTTTCTTATACCTCATTCTATCAGTTTATATTTCAAATGTTGTTCAAACCTTCCTCCTTGCTCAAAAATTTACTTCTACAGTAGCTTCTGAACTTGAATCTATTGCCTCTGTTATTGTCCCCCTTTGCGTAAAATTCCTTATGATTTTCACTATTTCTGGTTGAATCTGAATTTTGTGACTTGACACACAAGGCTATGCCTTATCCATCTCCTGTCTCCTTGTTCAGCCTCATTTCTTGACTTCTTCCCATTACTTCCCTTTCTACCTTGACAAAGTACTCACAAAATTTGAATTACTTGTAATTTAAAGGTTCCATGTCTTTGAACATGTTAATTCCTGTGCTTAGAACTTCCTTCTTCACTTCTGCATCATGCCATTTTATTAATCCTTGAGTCGGTATTTTATTCAACTGTCCTAGTTCTCATTTAGCATCTCCATATTCCCATTATTTACCAAACATATTTCTTATAGTGTATAGTATATTTTAATCATTTTACTGATATTTCTTCATTGGACAGGCAAAACGTCCTGTTAGCCTTTGTAGTTTTTTAACCTTTCTCGGTGTTTCTAGGAGTTGATTGATATGGCATAAATGCTGATTGACACTCCCTTCTGCTGGTATACTAAATTATTGTGAAATTTTGTGATACCACAGGTATGTATCTCATTATGTATAAAACCTGGAAGGAACTCCTTGGTCTTTACCTTGATTATAGAATTATTTATCCATAAAGAACAATACATTTTAGTGCATACCTATATATATTCACAGACATGTTTGCATGATTTAAATTAAATAGATTGTAAGCCATGCTAATGGAAAATTATGATTAGAATTGGGAAGCAATTTTATAAATTTAACTTGAATTCATTATTTCAATTTAATTTCCTATTTCTTCTTCTATGGAGAATTACCTTTTTGAATATTTCCTGGAAATAATTTGGATTATCCTTTCCCTTATTTCTCAATTTCATGCTACTATTGTCTACATATATTTATTTTCCATTTCGGTGATATTTACTGCTAGTTTTTGTGTTCCTTGTTTTTGCTACTTTCTTTGAGTTGTCTGTAATTTGTGTTTTTCTATAAGCCAGGTGACTGAGTTTGATTTAGTTTCTCTGATTGTAGAGAAAAATTATTTATTTGCTCTTTGAGATCTTTGAAAATTATATGGCATTGCTGAAAAAAACATTTTGGGTCCTGGGTAATGACTGGCAAGGGGGTGGAAGGAAAAAATTTTAAACTTGACTTTTTGACATGAACTGGTTACAGCTGAACGAACATGTACCGGAAAGGTAGATTCTGTTAAGGTTTTTTTTTTTTTTTTTTTTTTTAAAGTATGTTTTTCTTCTTCCTCTCTCTTCTGACATATTTCCCATTCCCACTTTAAACAACCTTAAGTTTTGACAGTAGAGGCATGCTGGTCAGATTTTAATGCTTAGATATCAAATATAACAATTACTATATATTTCAAACGCGGGAATTGAGACTCCTGTTGGTGTCTTACTCCAAAACAGCATTTTAAATTCATATAAACCTTGCCTTAAGGGATGGAGAAAAGACAATTTAGGGAACAGCATGAGGTTAAACATATTGATCAGTAGTCCAGTAGTTCTTGCTAGACTTGGATAGAATGTAGACTTTAGAAAAATAGTATTATCAACAACAACAAAGAATGCTTCTCTAGAGAGACTGTCTTTTGTTTGCATTTTATGGATTTTGGAGGATGAAAGATATTTTAGCCAGAGATAAAAAAAAGTGGAGAAGTTGAAAGTTGAAGTGTTAAACATGAGCTGAAAAATTTTGTGATTTAAAAATTTTTATCATTTAAGTTCTATATTAAAGGATTTACTGAGCTCTGTTATTTATTTCTAGTTAAAACATAGGGTAATTTTGAATTTTTGCCAAAGTGTGAGAACCATTGCCTGATAAATTAACTTCTAGAAATTAATTATACAGTGTTTATTTATAACGTTGTTAACCAGAGTTAAGACCTTTGTTGACCTTGAAGTCTTTGGGACCTTGAGTCTCTCTTGATGAATGGAAAATTATTTTATTATCCTATTTTAGGTAAGTGTTATCTATGCAATAGGTGTTTATCATTTTCAACTAAGATATGTTAAATTTCTCTTGTATGTGTGTAGAGTAATATTATTGGACAGAAACTTAGCTGTTGGTTACAAGTGTTTTTGTTTTTTTTTTTTTTTTTTAATGGAGCAGTAGTGATGGCTAATGTTTTTCCATCTTCCTTTCACCTCAGTAACCCTCAAATAAATAAGAAATAAATAACTCCACTGAAACTTTATTTCTTCTGTAGTTTATAACTGACTAAAATATTTTGCTTACAAATTGTTTTAATAGAAAAGATATTTAATAATGCTGGAACAAAACATTGAAGTTTAGTTTTGTTACTCTTTCTTTAATGTTGGAAACCCAGTCTGTCTCACTGTTTGATCTCTTGTAGGTAGCTTGTATGCAACTCATCAATGCCCTGGTTACATCTCCTGATGATTTGGACTTTAGGCTTCACATCAGAAATGAATTTATGCGTTGTGGATTGAAAGAGATATTGCCAGTAAGTGCCCTGCAGTCTCCTTATTAATATTTAAATTAAAAGAGTACTTCAGTAGGGGGAAATTTAGATAAATTACCTTGAAGAATAATTTGTCTGTAGGAAAAGGCTTGAGTTTAAAAATCCATTTTTGAAATATAGATGATAAGATTTGAGTGTTATTTAACACTTTAAATGTTTGAATGCTATAAATCAAGTTGAATGGTTGGTTTATTGTTTATATGTTTTTTATTCTTTTGCATAATTAAAAACAATCATTCATCATAATTTTTATTTCTATCTCTAGAATTTAAAATGCATTAAGAATGATGGCCTGGATATCCAACTTAAAGTCTTTGATGAGCATAAAGAGGAAGATTTGATTGAGTTATCCCATCGCCTCGAAGATATTAGAGCTGAACTTGAATATCCTTTTGTTCTAAAGTCTAGTCAAATCATATATAAAATTATTGCTAAATCCGAAATACTCAACCACAAATATTTAGCTCATTTCTGTGTAAACAACATGAAATCAAACCTTCATGCGTCAGAAGAATGTTATTATTTTATTAGTTTGTGTGTTTTTATGAATACACCTATATGTAAGTGCATGCTGCAACTAACAAATGGATGCTGTAGATTAACTTATATGTACGTGTGCACTCTGTTCTGTTTTCTTTTTATATTTGACACTTCTTCTACTCCGGGCTTTTCAGTTTTTTTTTTTTTTTTTTTTTTTTTTGAGACGGAGTCTTGCTCTGTCGCCCGGGCTGGAGTGCAATGGCCGGATCTCAGCTCACTGCAAACTCCGCCTCCCGGGTTTACGCCATTCTCCTGCCTCAGCCTCCTAAGTGACTGGGACTACAAGCGCCCGCCACCACGCCCGGCTAATTTTTTGTATTTTTTAGTAGAGACAGGGTTTCACCGTGTTAGCCAGGTTGGTCTCGATCTCCTGACCTTGTGATCCGCCCGTCTCGGCCTCCCAAAGTGCTGGGATTACAGGCTTGAGCCACCGCGCCCGGCCGCTTTTCAGCTTTAGGAAAAGGGCAGTCTTAGTCACTGGCTGCTCTTTCCCTGCACCTTGGGTGCATACTCATGAGTTGCATGTTAATCTGTGGGTCTGCAGATGTCTGTGCTCCTCATGAGACCCACCAGGTTCCTATCCTCACCTGGGGCTTCTTCATGATAGATTATGCCTGACCACCAGCTCTGTTGGTCAGGCAACCTTTAGAATTCAACACAGTATTCATAGATAGCTTCTCTACTATCTTTGTTCTCAACAGCCTCTGTGCTTAGGCGAGACAGATAGTTTGAGCTGATTGTAGAAGGGAAGTCAGGAAGTGTCAGGTTAAGTTACCATTTCCAGAGTTTTTCCACTACCCTCAATGCTAAATATCTGTATTTTATGTTGAATATATAAGATGCCTGTATTAGAGTTTTAAAACCTTACAGAACAAATTCTGTCATATTATTGTAGTTGTTTGGTGTAGAGTATAAATAAATCCATATATTCCTTAATCAACTCACTGAAGCATATGATGTTTACAACATGGTGTGGAGCACAGTTAAAGAAACTAGAGCAGAGGGATATTTTATTTCTATTCTTCAGCATCTTTTGCTGATTCGAAATGATTATTTTATAAGGTAAGAAGAAGTTATATTCTAATGTTTTCTTTCACTAATAAAAATCTATTAATTGTGAAATTCACATCATATTTGCCTTTGACAAGCAAATGATTTTTATTTTTGTCATAACACTGATTCCTAGAATGTGTTGTTTCCTCTGGGCACATATTTAGGTAGATGATGGTAAAATGATATTACTATTACTTTTTAAGCTCCTGTGGATTCCTGGTTACAACCTTTCATCTGAATAAAAATACAAACAAGCAACAAATTACTAGTTTATCATGTGATAGATAATATTTTCTGGTTATTCCTTAGGCAGTAGAAATGATGTTGATAAGTTTCTTCTTATAAGTTACACGAAGGACACTAAACATTGCCTTTATTCATGTTTAAATAGCTGGCAAGCCTTAATAATACAGTTGTGTTTAATGTTGCCAATATATCAAAAAGCCAGACAAATGGCTTTTAAAGATTGATTATGTCCTAGCCATCTGAATTTAACAAATTATTTATCTTTTTTTTTTTTTTTTTACCTCATCTGCATTATAATGTGACTAAATATGGATGTTAGCGCCTAACTCATTGGGTTGTTAGGTAGGTGAAATATGGAAAAGTGGGTAAAAGTTCTAGCCAAACCCTTGGCATATGGTGTATGCTTAGTAAATGTTCTCTATATCTACTTTCCATTTCTATTACTCTTTTATGGTGGAAGCTGAGCTCTTTGAATATAAAATCATTTTGTTGCCACCAATTTAGGTTTGCTGAAATTTCATTCTCTTATACTTTGGGTGGTTTTTTCTTTTCTACTTAATTTCAAGTAGAATAATTTTTTAGACAAACTTCATTCAGGCTATGTCCTCTGGGTAATGTCAGAGGGTATGACTCAATGATTTTTTGATGTACCTAACAAGCAAGGAGGAGACCCAAAATGTTAAAACTTTAGGTTTTCCGGATGTGGATAGGACATACATCAAAATTACTCTTTGTAGCCAGAAATCCCATGGATATTCTAAAATATGAGTTTAGTAACTGATTTTTTAAAATTTGCTTCTTTCTGATATTTTATTAAAAATAAACCAGTTTATCACGCCTGTAATCCCAGCACTTTGAGAGGCCGAGACGGGTGAATCACGAGGTCAGGAGATCAAGACCATCCTGGCTAATACGGTGAAACCCCGTCTCTACTGAAAATGCAAAAAATTAGCCGGGCGTGGCGGCAGGTGCCTGTAGTCCCAGCTACTTGGGAGGCTGAGGCAGGAGAATGGTGTGAACCCAGGAGGCGGAGCTTACAGTGAGCCGAGATCGGGCCACTGCACTCCAGCCTGGGCGACTGAGCGAGATTCCGACTCAAAAACAAAACAAAAACAAACACAAAAATAAATAAACCAGTTTAAATATTTACATACTTGATAAATGCTAGATTAAGAATTGCTAATTTAGATTTTAAAATATCATTTGTATCACGCTGTTTATGATACTAACTACTCCAAATTTACTTAAAAATGAAACTGAAACTTCTACTTACTCTAAAGTAAACTCCATACATTTTTTGATCTGTGTATGGTCGGTCCTGTCGTCTTTCGGATATTTGACACTGTTTGAGTACCCAGGAATTTAAGACTGTTTTTTTTTTTTTTCAATGGTTTGAACGTGCCTGTAGTCCTGCAGGGGTTTATCATGCTTATGACTTTGATCCCTTCACCTGTGCCCTGAGAGGGCATGTGGTTGTATCTAGCTTCAAAACAGATTGAAAAACACAATTGTTTTAGGTTGTATTCAGGTGATCCTATCATTTGAGTTAACTCAAGAGTCTTGGAGAAAGATTAACTTGTGGCATTACCAAAATGACATTAAGGCATAGAAATTTAGATGTTTGGCCATCTTTTGAGTATGAACTTCTACATTTGATGCTCATCTATGTTAATTCCTCCTTTGGCTCTTTAAACTCCAGGTATCTTGGTTCCAGATATGGTTGCCACAAAGGCAGTGTTCTTCCTGTGACTGCTATACTCTAGACAACTCCATCAATTTTGTCCTCATGTTTCCAAACTCTCCTATTTATTATCGTGATTGTTAATATTTCTTAAAAATATGTTATGTTTTTATCCCAAGATTGTGTCAGAATTGTGATAATTCACATATATTTTTGTCGTACATTTATTTTTTTAAAGTTTTATTTATTTAAATACAGTAAAACTTACTCTTGTTGGTGTACACATCTATGAGTGTTTTTTTTGTTTGTTTTTTTGCTTTTTACCTTCATTTTTTGGTTTCATCTACCTCAGAAGGACCTCTATTTTACTGTTTCAGCAATCTTAGATAGCCTGTAACATTTTTTGTTTAATGAGCTCTTTAAACTACTTTTGATATGAACATACATAATTTTTCTTTTTCTTTTTACAAACAATAGGTTGTTCCATTGCAGAATGTTAAATGTTCTCATTTGAAACAATTGATGGATGGAAAAATTAGAATCTTTTTTCATTTCTACTTTTGGAACAAAAGAAAGTTTGACAGAAATGGAATTCGATTGGAGAATATATGTCAAAGGCAGCCCCTTTTCCCCAGGAAAAAGGGAGGGGGCTGAAATAAAGCAAGATAATTGGGTGGAGAAGATCAAATTCAGTTTTGCATCGAATAATTAAGGCTTACCATGACTAAAATACTATGGTAGTTAAATGAGCATGGGAGATAATTTCTGACATTTGTTAACAATACTACAGAGAAAAATGAAGATTTCAAAAACTCCAACAAAAATAACATTTTATCAGTAATGACAACTTAATGTTCATCCCTTAATTAAGTTATTTGCATATTCCTCAGACATGTTTACTACCTCAGCAATATTGCTCATGGAGATTATTTTCTAGATTTACATTTTTGGAATCCAGAAATGTTGTATATTATTCTTTGCTAGTATTGCCTCCCCAAAGAGTTTTTGCATGAAATTTCAGCTACATTATAGATGAACTCATAATTGGACATTATGGAGTTGAGGAAAAACTTACTAAAATTATGATTTCTTAAAAAAATGACATGAAATAGCTTGTGTTGTTAATTTAAAACATTTTCATTTTAAAAACATTAGAATAATATTAAGTGTAAAAAAGAAATACATTATCGAGATTTTTAAATGTGATAGATATAAATGTGTTTAAATGTATATACCACATATAAATGTGGTAATTACGGCAGAAATATTTGGGAATGGGAGATAATGTCTTGAAAGAACTTGAACAAATAGAGGCATAGATAACACTTTTGATTTGTGCCCAGGAACCGTTTCTTAAACATTTTTACTCTATGACAGTTAATGATCATTAGTCATCTTTGCTAGTGTTAAGCTGTAGTAGATTTTCTTCACCATAATACATGGTTTATTAGGTGTAAGGTAAGTAGGTCAAGAGCAGTGGGTCATAGTTTATGGAAAGGAAAGCCTAACTGGCTTGAGGGACCAACACTTAGGTGATGAGGAGGATTTACAGAGGAGAAGTATGCTAAAAGTCATTAAGGAAAGAAGTTCTAGGGGATGATTTGGTATGGAGGACTGTGCTTCATTAGAATAGTACCCAACCTGTTTATCACTTTAGTTTGGTTTTACTTATAAAATCTTTTATCTGTTTCACGTTTATTAAATCTTAAGGGATGTTTTGCTTATTGCCAAAGTAGATGGACTAGACTTAACTGTAATGACAACATAAAATCTACTTGGAGATTTTAGTTAAACTTCAATTTTTAGACAAATATTATTATACTGAATTTTTCATTTCCCTTTGAGTAAGAAATGTGAATTTGATATTGTATATAGCTTACAGTATGAGTTTTAAATTTGATTTCACAAACACTTGGAAAACAGTATACCATATACTGCCATAAAACTTTTTAGCAAAGATTTTTGTTTATTTTGATTATATTATGAAGTGAGTTAATGGTAGCTATTTCAGTGTGGTACAGTGGAAAGTTGATGACCTCTGAGCACTAATTTTAAGCACTTATCACTTCACTTTCAGCTAATTTACTTAATTCAAGGTTTTGACTTTTATTAAGAAAATGAAGGGACACTATATTTCCTAAAAGACTATAAAAATATGATGTTTTGAATTCATTAAAAGCAAAGTGATGACAATTGTATTTACGCTCACTTCCATGTAAAATCTGTTATGTCAACTGTTGAAACTATATTACTAATAAATTGTTGAACTTAAAATCAATCTTAGCAAAAAAGTTTTGTTTTGATGTAAAGTTACACTAATGATTGATTGTACATTTACTCTTTTCTTTGGTTTTAGGCAACAGTACTTCAAATTAATTGATGAGTGTGTATCCCAGATTGTATTGCATAGAGATGGAATGGATCCAGACTTCACATATCGAAAAAGACTAGATTTAGATTTAACCCAGTTTGTAGGTGAGTATTTCTCTATTATTTAAATGGAAATATCTTATTGTCTCTTATTCTGTGAATGAGCTCTAGGGTATTGGTTCTCGGGTTGTGTATCTGGACTCCTGAGGGCCCTAATTGTCAAAACTGTTTTCATAATAGCACAAAAACATTATTTGCCTTTTTTATTGGGTTGGTATTTTGCACTGGTGGTGCAGAACAATGGTGAGTAAAACTCCTGACACTTTGTTATGAATCAAGGCAGTGGCACTAAACTGTGGGAGTAGTCATTGTCATCTTTACTGTCAATAAAACAACAAAAAAAACTGCCATTTTTTACCTAAGAATGCCTTTGATAAGGTCCTAAAAATGTTAACTTTATTAAAGATGGACCCTTGCATTCACATTGTTTTAATATTCTGTGTTAACAAATGGGATTTATACATACAGTACTTCTGCTGCATATGACCAGTGCCTGATGTTACAAATTCTCCATAGGCAAAAGATCTATTAAAAGAGTTCAATAAGAAAATATTTGTGTAATTGAGTTGCAAGCAGAATTGCCTGCCCCGCCGGCAAAGCCTTTTTTTTTTTAAACTTGGAATGACTCATACAGACGACAGCTTCTGTAACTTGAGAGTTGTTTTTTTTGTTGTTGTTGTTTTGTTTTTTAAGATAATCAGAGCATTATTACTTAGTGTTGTAACATTTGAGTTTTTATTTAAGTTTTCGTCAGGCACTTGCTTTCTTAAAAATGAAATAAAATGAGCCTATAACTTCAAAGAAAATGGCCGATAAATATGCTGCCAATGAGAAAATTTGAGTTTTTAAGTGGAAATTTGAATTTTGGAAAATTTGTATTTGCTGCTTTTAGGCTGACAGGTTCTCAATACTAAAATTATTTCCTGATGTCACTGGTGTTATTAACCTGATTATTCATTGTGATATTGTAGAAAGACATGTTAACATTTGGAACATTTGCATGACTCAGCACACCATTCTTTTCCATATGACCAGTGCCTGATGTTACAAATTCTTCATAGGCAAAAGATCTATTACAAGTGCAACATTTATCAAGAGATTTTAGGGTAGCAGAGTACAAGTTAATTGATATGATATGGGATTCCACATATCATATATGTTTAAAAGTGCAACATTTATCAAGAGATTTTAGGGTAACCGGGTAAAATTAATTGATATGATACGTGATTCCACATATCATATGTGTTTAAGAAGTCACCATTTGTCAGATTTTGATGTAACATCAAAGAAGATTATCCACAATGATTTGAAAAAGCTATTAAAATACACCTCTCATTTTCAGCTATGAATCTGTGCAGAGTTGTGTTTCTTTTCATATATTATCTGAGTCCAGGGAGAAGAATGAAATATAATTAGTGAAGAACTAGATAATAATGAAAATGCTTGTTTCTCTCTATAAGAGATAAACAATGAGAAGTTCCTGTGGTGGGGGGAGTGGGAAGAGGACGCAGAAATTAAGGAAATGGTGCTGTAAATATGCAGCACACTAAAATGTGGAATGATTTTGAATAGTATCTGAAAAAATTTATTCCACTGAGTCATTTAGGAATGGCAGCTGAGAGGTTTTTTTCACTGAGCTCTTGAGAAGGAAATAAAATATTTGAACACCATTTGCCTGTATAAGTGATGCATGCTTACATAGTTTTAATAAATTAATTGTATTTACTGATTTTTAAATATTTAGAATAAACTCATAAGTAAATACAAAAGATTTAAATACAGAAGAGAATGTCATTGTATTTCTATGAATAGGTGAGAGAAGAACCAAAGTTGGACAATAGGGGGAAAAAGGTGTTGGAAAGCATAAGGCACAGATAATTTGACATACTATAGCAAGAATTTTAAGTTATTGTTAAGGTAATGGGAATCAAAATTAAATATTTCATGCTCTGGAGTAATCCAATTTAGTAAATATCAAAAATTAGGATTAGATAGAGAACAAACACTGTTTTAATCTTTTATACCAGAAAGTTATCTATAATGTCTTAAATAGATAAATCAAGAAATAATAGTTATGTACATTTTATTTAGAGTTAAGAAACTAACCACCAAAATAATCTGCTATAGAAATGGCCGTAAGAGGTTGCATTTAGGAAGTGTGATTGAGATTTGGATGCAGTAACTTTGTTGACTTATTTTTTATTATAAATTCTTCTGTAATATATTTTTATAAACCTTGTTCATGTATCACTTTCATTCAATAAAAAAGAAGGGATAGCATATATTATGGGAAATCCATATGAATTACTTGTCCTACATTGTGTTCTGTCGTGTATATATATCGTAACTTATTTAAGCAGTTCATTATTGATGGGCATTTAAGTTATCTTCAGGTTTTTTGTTTTTTTTTGCTAACATCAGAAAATATTTTAATGATTATTCTGGCCTAATGGACAAGTCTTAGAAATGGAATTGCTAGGTTAAAAGAAAATCCATATTTACAATTTTAGTACATATTGCCTAGTTTTTCATCAGCAAAGTTCTTAACTTTCACTCTTGGTTTCCTCATATCAACTCCAACACTTGGCATTATCAGTCATTTAATCTTCACATTCATATTGCTAATTTTCATATTTATAGGGAATAATAAACATTATTCATCTGCTTTAGTGATTTTTTTTTAGTATCAATTTTTCTCACTTTCTGTTTGTTACTGTTGCCTTTTTTTTTTTTTTTTCTTTAGCTTGGTTAGACATCATCTTTTTTCTTTAAAATATGTTCCAATTGGTGATAGAAATACTTGAGTGTTATTACAATTGAACATTCTCCTTTTGCCTGCTAGAAGTTTAAAACTGTTACTGAGTTTGGCTTTTCCTGTTTTCTGTTTTCTGGTATCATGCTTAGAAAAAGCCTTTTTCATTCCAACATTATAATTTTTTTTCCATTTTATTTATTACTGGTAGTATCAGTATTATTTTCTATGATATTTTTTCTTTCTAAACTTTTGAAGTCATAATGAGTTTAAGAACTATCACATTAAAAATTTCCTGTCATTGCAATTTTAGACATTTGCGTAGATCAAGCAAAACTAGAAGAGTTTGAAGAGAAAGCATCAGAACTTTATAAGAAAGTAAGTAGTTTTGACTAACTTTGTAGTACTCTCTGGGGAACCACTGCAGGCATGCTTCTGCCTCAGGGAATTTGCTTGTTATTCCTTCTTCTTTATCTGCTTCAGGTGTGTGCACAGATGCCATCCACCAAGGAGGACTTTATAGACCATTGTATCTAAAAAATCTTAATTTCCCACTCTCAACCTTGACCTTCCCTATTCTTCTTTCCTTATTTGTTTTCTTTCAATATATTTATCATCATCTGACATGCTACATAGTTTAGTATTTACATGTGAATGACTTATCTATTTCACCCTAAGAGTAAACTTTGAGGCATTTTGTTGCTTTATTTACTATCCTTGCACCAAGAACTTTTCCCGGCCCTTTGTAAGAACTAAAAAGATACTTTTTGAATGAGTAGATGATTGAGCAAAATGTATGTAATCAAAATTTTAAGATTGTGGTAATTCTCAAGAAATCATATTATTTAGGCCCTTAAGAATGAAATCATATATAAAAATTTTAAGAGAAAAGTTAACTTGCTTTTAGTTTTGATTAAAGTTGCTTCATTGTATTAGTCGAACTTTATAAAATTGCCATGTTCATGGGTCATAGCTATTGGATATTATCAGTTTTGTTTCAACCCAGTAGTATTTCTAACTGTCCAGCCAATTCCTTACTTTTCTTTAACCCATTTATGCCTGAGATTGCAATTTTTTTGAGTTTTGAAAAATCAGACATTGGCAATGACCTTGAGCAGTAGGATATAAATAACTCCCACATGCTCAGCGTTCCCGTAATGGAACAGTAGGCATAAATTTAAGGTACTGTTTTGTCCTTTTATCTCTGGCTTAACAAGTACCTATTCGACTTTTAATTTGTTGTTTCAATTCTTTGCATTTTAAATAGTCAATCTGATTTGAATTATTCAGATGGTTTTTCACATTGAAGGAGTGATAATAATTATTACTACTATTGCCCCCATGATGAACCCACAGCAAACATTTACTAAGTGAATATTTACTGTGTGTTAGGCATCATGCCAAGGAGTATACGTTTTTGATGTGGCAGATACTAAATGTATCTTGAGGCAGTCACACATTTCTATAAACTTTGAAGATAAAACATAAATTATAGGCACTATATCGGAAGTTAAGACTAACTTAAGAAAAACATTATAAATGTCCTCAGGGGCCTTAAGGTTCTGACTTCACCAAACGCTAAATGAGAGGTTGTTATTTCCCAGGCCTTCGGCTGCAGGTTAGGATTGCAGTTGTGAATATGATATTGTCGTTGCTCTGAAGTGACTTAGTTTAGTGGGGGAAACAAATTAATGGATCGTTTAAATTTAGTCTCATAGTGTTACAGTGGATAGATGTTCATGTTGTGGGGTGACCTTTCACCCAGCCAACATTGCATTCTGAGCTCGATAAGCACTTTAACTCTTTATAGGAAAGTAGTAGTAGACTTTCAAGTGCTTGATTTGGATACATCCCAGATAGTATAAATTTGATTTTATTACCATTTTTAGGTATATAGTATATATGAATGGAGTTAAACATGAATGGAGTTAAAGTTTCTCAACAAATTTTTTTTAAAAATTGTAGGCTTTAAATATGAATAGAAGAAAGACCTTGTTCAAGGTTAGTTGTCTCCTTTTAGTCAGAAATTATATGTCTTAGGTGTATTCAGAAAATACTATTTGCTCCATAAAATATTTCTATTGCCATATCATTTTGTATATATCAGCAAAAACTTTGTTCTGATAGCTTTATAAGGACACATGTAAATACTTTGCTTTAGGCAGGAAGCTATCATGGTTGCTAGATACATTCTTTATTTTGGTGCATAAATTTGAAAAATGAAGACCAGAAATGTCAGAAAGTATATAGAGAATATTGAATTACCAACCTTCTTGTACAGATGCACTAATACATTCACCCTAGGGAATGAAATTAAGCAGAACCTCAACCTTAACTGTGTTTTTCAACATTTTTTGCGTGTAATTTTGTAAGTGTAATATTGCTCTAGTAACCCTTTTTGGAGAAGAAGGCTATCATATCAGTTTTTATAAGGTGTGCTTTTAATGGAGATTCATTTTGTCCTCAAGGTTACAGTGATTTGACTGTAGATATTACAAAAATTCTAAAGCAAAGTTTATATTTCAGCTATCTTTTTATAGGGGAAGATGTGTAAATTTATTTTTTCATAAGTAATACTATCACTTTCAGTATAAGTGAGTTAATTTAATAAGTGTTCTTAGAGTTTACCAATTATGACTGTGGTTGTTTTTATAATTTTTATCTTAAGTCCCGAAATAATTCTTTTTAATTATGAATTTTAGTCTAGGGTTTATGAGATAGGATAGTGCACATATTGATATTGTAGTAAGGCTTTTTCATTCTTACTCTTATAAGAAGAACATAATTTTTTTTCTTGCTGTGTAGCAGTGAACTTTGTCTTAGTTGTCAAAAAGAGAAAATGACCTCTCAAAGATTTCTGATGCTGGGAGAGTGACTATGTTGACACAGTCATTCAACATATAAAGGAAGATTTGATAGGGTTGGCTCATCACTTCGTTCAATATTCGTTCAACAAATATTTATTTGACTTTAATTATAAATGTATGACACTGGAAAGGTGATGAATAAAGTAGAAAAGTTTCTCACATTTATGAGCTTTCAGGTTGGTGTTATTGAGGTGTATGTATGTTGGCGATTTTTTGTTACAGTGTGCAGTTGGTGTGGTAGACAAACCCTATGTAGTATGTAAGCCCAGAGGAAAGGTCCCTTACCTAGTCATGGGTGGCCAGGGAAGCCTTCTCCAAGGAAGTGATGTCTAATCTGAGCCTTGAGGAATCACTATGAAGAACAATGCGAGATAGTCAAGAAAGGATGTGTATCTAAATTTCTTTTGAATGTCCTCTACATATCTCAAGCTGAGCATATCCAAAACCAAATTTATCTTTCTTCTCCCTAAAAATATCTTTTTCTCCTGCAATTTATAACCTTATTTATTTTCCCCAAATAACAACACTTTTTTTTTCCAGCCTGTAAAACAACAAAACCCTGTAGTCATCTTAGATATACTCCTCTCTCTCATTTCCTTCATTCTGTCAGATACTAACATTTTTGGATTCTGTAGTCTTTTTTCATTTCTTTGTCATTACCGTCTCCTCCACCTCAATTCAGAAGGCCTTCAGTTCTCTCTTGGATAACTGCAATAGCCTCCAAACCAATTTCCATGCCTCTAGTATGTCTTTTTCAGCCCATCTTTCACACTGCTGCTGGTTGAGTTTTTGAAAGTAAAATTTTGATTGTGTTATTTACTTATTATACACACCCTAATAACTCTCCAGGATTTTTAAGAAAAAAGGATTAACTCTTTGGCTTACTGCAAAATTCCTTTCAGCAATTTTATTTCTGTGTACATCCCTGGCTTTATCCCCTTCAGTTTGTTCTCATATCTCTTTTTGTGCCCCTTACAAAGTATTGCTTGTCATTCATCCACACGTTGAAATGCTAGTGAGTTTTTCAGACTTTGAGGTCAAGCATCATTCCTTCAGGAATCATTCCCCAGCTTTCAGTCTCTCTCTCTCTCTGCCTCTCTCTTTATTGCTGGTATTTTTAATGGATTTAGGGTTGTTAGTTTGCTTTTACTTCTCCACCAGCCACTGTGCTTACTAAAAAGTACACTGATCATATTCTGTTTAACTGTGTCTCCAGAACCTACCACTCTGAGGGGGCATATCTCGGGTGTGTTGTTAAATATTTATCGTGTAATGGGAAATAGGTAGATTAGGGCCAGATCCTAGAGGGTTCTTAGATAGTAATGATTGTAATGAAGTCACTGATAGTTTAAGAACAAATGAGTCATGTTATTTGAGCTGCCTTTTATAAAGAATAGCAACATTCAAAAAACAAATCTTATAGGGGGAAACATGTTTGGTTTTGAAAATATGTTTTTTTGTTTGTCTTGATAAGTTTTCATTAAGTGGTTGGAAATATATTCATGGACTGATTTGTAGCCTGGAATTCAGATGAGAAGCTGAGATATTGATAGGGATTTGTAAGCCATCAGTGTACGCATGGTGATTTAAACATGGGTGTGGGAGATGAGACAAGTAGAAGGGGGATGAGGAAAGAGTCCTATAGAGTGCCAACATTAGTGGGTTGGATTTTGTAGAAACCCATGACAGGAATTGGTAGGAGCACTCAAGGAGTAGCAGGAGAACCAGAAGTGTGTGTTGTAATGGAACATACAGAAAAGAGGTTGAATATGAAGGCCTATTGGTAGGTATTTATGCTATAGAACTGGCCTGTCTAATATGGGATGGTGGAAATGTTTTATAATCTATATTGTTCTACATGGTAGTCATCAGCCATATGTACCTATAGTGTACTTTTTAAAATGGCTGGTGTGACAGAGGAACTGAATTTTTAAACTTTATTTTTGATAATTTATGTTTACATTTAAATAATCATTTGTGGTCAGTGGCTATGATATTGAAATAGCATGGCCCTAGAGAGACCACCTAAGATGAGACTGAGAGAAGTCCAGGGAATTTGGACTTCTGGAATTGGAATTTGGTAAGTCAGGGTTTTTAGAATGAATTATAGCTAAGTTGTGACAGATAATGACATGAATGGAGTTCAACAGGTCAGAAAAGTGAGTATGGTTTAAGAATACTCTTTGAAAAAGTTGACTTTTAAGCTAAAGAGAGATTATGGTAAGAGGGGTTTAAGGAGTAAAATGAGGGATGAAAGTACAGAGGGGTTAACTATGCAAGGACAGTGTGAAGGCAATTGATTTAGCAAGTCCTTAGGAGGAAGCACTGGGTGACGGGAGAAGATGGGCGGACCTCTGAGACTCATGCATGGCTTGTTTAGTAGATTAGTAATTTGATTAGATTTAGGCTTAGAATCTTTTAAATTATTTAACGGTAAGAGTGGTTTGTAGGAGCTGTAGTAGTAGTGAGGAATGGTAATGTTGCTGTGGCTTAGGTCAACTGAAGGACACTTGAACAGTTTTTACCTATTAGTTTTTGTTATCTTAATAAAGGAACACAGGGTTGAGACTGAGAGGATCAGTAGGCTGAAATTTACCTTCCTTCCCTGTAAAATGGGAATTAAAGCGATATTTCTTATTTCACAGAGTTTTTGTAATGAAATCTAAGAATGCCTCTTTTTGTGCTTTAAAAACTATAAAGTATGGGGGGAGATAATACATGTGTAGGGTTAGGGGGTATGTGGAATCTCTATTTTCTGTTCAGTTTTGCCGTGAACCTAAAAACTGCTCCAAAAATTCGTCTGTTAAGTAAAACTGTAAAGCATTATCTACATGTTAATTGCAGGGAGGTGGCATAGTTTCATTTGAACTCAGACTCTGAAGGCAGGAAATCTGGCTTTTTAATCTCACATCTTTTACTAGCTATGAAGGACTAGCAACTGCCTCTGTGTCATTAAGGACAAAATAAGATTCCCTTTATAAACTAAGTAAAAATAAAAACCCTTTGTAAACGGCGGAGTTCTACATTGTTGTTATTTTCCTAATTGAGGTTTGAGTATATTTAAAATGTAGAGGCCACATTTGTGAGATAGTTGCATTTTTTTGAATGATTTTTTTTCCATTTTTTTTTTAAAGTAAGTCAAATACTCGTGTTTGATTGTGAGACAAAAAGGAGATTTTTAGTTATAATAATGACAAAGTTGAATCTATTTGAATGCAAGATGAGAACTGGTGATGAGTGGATATATAAATTCTTATAGAAAACTCACCGGATTCACCAAATTTTATTGTTCACTTTTTTTTTCCAGAAGGTATTTCACTAGGGACTTTGAAAAATTAATTTATCATTACTTTCCCAAAGATATTTGGAGATATTATGTTGTTATAGGAAAAAAAGTTAGAAACTGAATAGAATGGAGTTGTTTAGTAATAAAAAATATGAAAATGGAATCCCCTAAATCATGTTGATATACTTCAGATAAGTTTCAAGAATAAGTTTTTGCAAGTGGGGGGTGCAAGGAATTCGTACAATGCTTTGCTCTCTATTATTTTACACAAAGTCACAATAATATTTAGAGACTTTGAAGAAAATGCCAAGGTTACAGATAACTGTGGCCAGTTTGCTCTGCAGAGAGGTCACAGCTTTTGTCTGCGGCTTTTTTCTGCCCCCTTGTGAATGAATGATTTTGGTTGGGACCTGGAGGGGCCTAGAGAAAGACTCTCAGTGACTTTTCAAAACTCTACCACTCCTTTCATAAAACCAATTCAGGAATTTGTGTTCTACTGGCAGATCATTCGAGTCATATTTCTGTAAGAAGAATAGTGCTTTTCATTTTCATCTTCCTGTTTTTGTTATTATTTTTAATTTGTTTCAGTTTGAAAAAGAGTTTACCGACCACCAAGAAACTCAGGCTGAATTGCAGAAAAAAGAGGCAAAGATTAATGAGCTTCAAGCAGAGCTACAAGCTTTTAAATCTCAGGTAAAATTCCACTCCGAGTGAATTTGGGTATTAAAAACACAGTGAGGGAGCAAAGGTTATCTTCATAGCATCAAAATGTTTAAACTTTAATTTTGCTTGTATATTTTTATAGCATTATTTATATGTACTTGTGTTTTGCTTTTTTTGGTCTTTTTTTTCTATATGTATATATATCTAAGCTTTTACTAATTATTCTGCTTTCTTATGTTTGTTTGGGTTTTGTTCCTAATGTCACATATTTCCTAAGTAATTAAGCATAAAGAGTAAGAAAATCTTTTACTCTCAGATTTGCACTGATCTTTATCCCACTACAAGAAATTATTGCTCAAGCTATTTATTTTTCAAAACCTTCAGCCTAGGGGTCCCTTGCAGTAAAAGATAACCTCTAGCTGAATGAGAACATTTTCTGATAATTTTTCAATTTCCAAAGTAAACAGATTTAAAACATGACAAAAAAGAGAGTAAATCTGGATTATGAAGTAGATAGCTCCCATGCACCCTCACACATAAAACATTTAGGTAGCAAGAAATACATCATCTGCATGCTCTATGTTGATGTAAGTAAGGAGGTAGAATATTCATAGCTAAATTTCTTCATGTAGATTTACGTACAGGATGATGAGCAATAAGTATAGTTTTGCTATTTTGCTTTCATCTTAATTTATGGTTATGTTGAAATAGTCTCAGGTATCCTCTCTTATTGGCAATTTTGTTTTCTTTTAAATGCTTAGTGATAGTTTTGTTACTGAGGCTGTCTGTAGATACCTTAAGAGATAGCTATCTGTTAGTATTCAATTTGAGAAAAAAATTAAAATCTCCTATCTACAAGAAAATTATTCTCATTCATCTTCGTTCTTTAGTGCTGCAAGAGGGAAATATCACATTTTATTGAATTTTTTTTTTTATCTTTCCCATATGGCTCCTTGTCTCTCATATTGAAAGAAACATTTGATTGTGTCTGTACTTCAGACTGAGTTGTAGACAATGGCTGAAATATTTATGACAAGTTTTTCTTGGTCTGGGCTAATGTAAATTTAAGAACTTTCTTTTCTTTTTAATTATATTCCGTTGAAGGTTTATTTGTAAATCTTCTCCAGAAAATTCCAGTTTATAAAAAATGTATCCACCATTTTTGGATAAGTTATTGCTGCATAGTGCTTTTATATGAAATAGGAATAAGTATATGTTTTGAAAGTGAGATTAAATCCAGGAATCTCCTAAATTGTTTTAAATTGTATGCAGTGATGACCCATGTTTATGGCTATGAGAAGAAAAACTAGAATTAGATACTTAATATTGGCCACCATATGTTCATGTTGGAACAACTGGCAAATTCTTTCTTTGGATGCTGGTTTATTTCTTATGAAATGAGGACATTTAAGATCTTTCTTTTTGTTCAAAGCTATGCTGACTATGAAGAGTATGAGTAAAATATGTTCTGTTATCTGTGATTTAATTCCTTTGCTCCTGTAGTCTCTTCACAACCAGGTACTTTAGGTGCTGGAGAGACATAGTGATGTGCCGATAGTCACAGTGTCTGGCCTCCTAAACCATATCTTCAAGTCAGTCTTCACACTTTATCAAATGAACTGTTCTAGAGCAGAAATTCAGCCATATCTTTAGGACACTGATAGTTAATTATCAAATACATTCAAAGGGTGGTACCATCTTTGAACACAGCAACCCAGATTACCACTGAACTGGTTTTTCTTTATACTTACTGGTTTTGATAAGGCGTGCTTTTGATTTGTGGCCTCAACTTCTTTTATAACACTGTTTTCTTTGTCATGATTTCAGATGTCATTGATTTCAAGCTTTTATACATGGTCTATTTTTCATAATTGTGCAATGAAAATTTAAAATTATGTAACATTTATTAAAGGCCCACCATGTGAAAGGCAGTTAGAATTGAAGTTTGTAATTCAAGAAGCTAATCATATTACAAAAGTTATTTATTAACCCAGAATATCTTCTTTGTATCCATCGAAATGCGTCTGTTAAATTCTTATTATGCCATGGAAACATGAGGACAAAAGTGACCAGTGGACACAGGCGGTTCTTTTTCACCCCTGATTTTACCTTGCTTCTCTGTGGCGTTTGATTCTGCAAAGCAGTCTTTTAGGTGGTGCTCTCTTCATTCATGGTTTTTGACCCTGTGCTTGGCTTTTTCTCTTCTTGTCTTTCATGCATTTATCCTATGCATTTCTTCCATAGCTATCATGTACCATTCACTGCTTTAGGTGCTGGGGAAAGAGCAGTAAATAATACAAGATAGTCACTTACCTCATCAAGCTTATAATCTGTCAAAGAGATAAATGCTAATGATTCCTTAAATAAATTAACACTTTTGATAAGAGCTATTGAAAGGTATAAGGTGCTATGAGTGTATAATAAGTGGTCAGATAAGGCTTTCCCAAGGAAGGGACCTGGTAGCTCAGACTGAAGAGGCTAGTAGGAGATGGTCAGGTGAAGAGAATGTTCCAGGCAGAGAGGGAGCAGCATGTCCAAGGGCCCTGAAATTAGCATGAGGTTGGCACATACACGGAATTGGAAGAAAGTCACCTGCAAGACCAGATGGCAGGGACCAGATCATGACATACTTATATAGACCCTATGAAAAATTTTAATTTGTTGTTGTTGTTGTTTTCTCAAGTGCATTAGGACACCATTGAGAAGATCTGAGCAAAGGCATGATGTGGCAATATCATTTAAGTCCTTTTTTTGAAATCTTATTTTTTACTTATCACTTAAATGCTTGCATTCCATAGAACTCTGTGCATAGACCCTTTGTCATGCTACATATTCTCTCCATACTGTGAGTGAACTTCTCTGCTTCCCTGACTTCAACTGTTCTCCAGAGACTACTGATTTTCAAATCTTCTAGATCCACATACCCATTTCCCTCCTGGACATTTCTACCTAGATGGTCATAACTGCCTCAAAACAGGGAATTATACTTCTGGCAATTATGTTTTTATGAGGGAAAAAACCCTGCAATCTTAAATTAGAAGAAAAATTGTTGGAACTTTGAATTTTGGTTTAACCATATGAAATTACTGATGTTTAATTATTTTGGTTTAAATGAATACCTTATTTTTGAGTAAAGTGCATATTTACAAGTTTTTTAGACATGTTCTTAGTTATGTCTCATTGTTTTTTTCCTCCAGTTTGGTGCCTTACCAGCTGATTGTAATATTCCTTTGCCTCCCTCTAAAGAAGGTGGAACTGGCCACTCAGCACTTCCTCCTCCGCCTCCATTGCCTTCTGGTGGAGGGGTGCCGCCTCCACCCCCTCCCCCACCACCTCCTCCACTTCCAGGAATGCGGATGCCATTCGGTGGTCCTGTGCCTCCACCACCTCCCCTGGGATTCCTTGGAGGACAAAATTCTCCTCCTCTACCAACCCTGCCATTTGGGTTGAAACCAAAGAAAGAATTTAAACCTGAAATTAGCATGAGAAGATTGAATTGGTTAAAGGTAAAACAAATTAATAGAGGAAAATATTTTTACCTAGATCTAAATCTAATTTTGGATTTATATATACATAATTTCTAATGGAATTTAATTTATACATAATTTAATTTATATATATGTAATTTCAAATGTCACTAATCAAAGTGACAATAAAATAGCGGTTTTTTTTTTTTTTTCTTAAAGTATTAGGATAAAGCCCTTTGATATTGACTAAGACTTTCTGGTTTATAAATATGGTGAGAGTTGATGTTGTTCCAGTGGAATGTGATTTGTAATTAAATTGATAATTAAATATTATTGCAGTGAATCCTATGTTTATGAAGCGTTTCTCAAAAAAAAATGATGGTGTTCCTAGGAAATTTTCTCTGTTGATAGATGTTGGGAAAGTGTTAACTAGTTGTCAGAAGCTAATGTCTAATCAGATCTTAAGAATTCAGACTCCTGCAGAAAAATGGTTTTATAGTAACAGAAACATGGAAAATGCTGTATAATGTATCCTGCCCTTCAAGATGTATATAGTGCAGGTGAGGATTGTTAGAGACTATGAGAAATGCAATTGAGAAGAAGCTAATTAAATCATATTTCAAATCCTCAACTATTGGATCATGGAAGCGTTTTCTTCCTAATAAGACGTTAACATCCTGCAGAACTTGTATCTCATTGAACACACTTTGGGGAAAAATCTTACAGATGCGACTTTATAAATTTCTGCTGGTAGCTATGATAGTCTATGCATAGTGCTTGGCCTCGGACAGGTGAACACTCACCTGTTTATGAATCAGTCTTCTCTCTGATTGTAGATCAGACCTCATGAAATGACTGAAAACTGTTTCTGGATAAAAGTAAATGAAAATAAGTATGAAAATGTGGATTTGCTTTGTAAACTTGAGAATACATTTTGTTGCCAACAAAAAGGTAAGTTTTTGATTATTTATTAACTTATAATTTATTGATTATAAATTATTATTTAATTAATTTAATTTTAGAATTTTAACATGATACTTTTTACATACCAATTTTTAGAAAACATTGGTTTTTGAATCCTGTACATGATATTTTTACATTCCTAATGGGCAAATAAATGGTATAATGAAATAAAGTGCTTAAAAAGTAAATTCTGTTTTAAAAATACAAAAGGTTAATATAAAATTTTGATTATTAAATTTTCTATATAATATTATTTTCGAAGATATTCCATTGGGATAAATTAGACTTTTGTTAAAGAAGACATTTTCAGAGATAGTTTTGGCATGAGAATGTCCTTTAGTTTGAAAAATAGAAAAACAAAATGTGTGCTTTCTTTCAGTTAGAATTTTACTACCCTTTAGTATTATAGTGACTTGGGGGGCTAGGAGAGGTATAGCATTAGGAGAAATACCCAATGTAGATGACGGGTTGATGGGTACAACAAACCACCATGGTACATGTATAACTATGTAACAAACCTGCATGTTCTGCACATGTATCCCAGAACTTAAAGTATAATCCAAAAAAAATTACAGTGACTATCACATAATTTAATTAATTGCTATGAGTCACATGGGATAGAAATATCAAATTTATAGTGTCTTAAGAGTTAGCTTGAAAGAGAAGTATCTGAGTAGATTATATGATCTTTTCATTAAAAGCAATGGCATTCATTTTCCAGAATGTTTTGTGATAGGTTTTACCTATGCAGTATGATTTTTAAAAAATTGTTTAGGTACTACGTTAAGTCTGAAAATTGAACTTATTTCATCCAGTTTCGTGGGCCTGCTACTTACATTTCAAGACTGATCTCCACACAGAATTTTTAAGTATTATATAAAACTTACATTTTAGGTCTGTAGTGCAAAACACTTAGATCAATCATTACCTTTTAATTTTCCAAAAGAACTTTTTCACTGTAGACTTATGCCACCTATATCCCTGGGCTCGTAGAACAAAGGAAGAGGTGGCAGGGAGAGATTGTACTGGATGGATACAGGTCAGAGACTTTTGTGTAGAGGGTTGAGTTGACTTCTTCTTAAATGTTGACTGTTAGCCAGGCACCATGCTAGATGCCTTATACATCTGATTTAACTTGAGCACAGCAGCCAAAGAATGTTGGCAGATATTTTTAAAATGTATTTGTATTCCTTTGAATGACTTTCTGAAAGATTAGAAACTCTTTCTAAAAGGTAATTGTAAATTAAGAAATTCTTAATGTAAATTAGAAACTCTTTCTAAAAGGTAATTGTAAATTAAGGTAGTTTTCTAGAATTTGGTAAATCAAAAACCGTTAACAGATATTTTTGAGTACCATTTATCCTGACTAAAATATTAAAAATGGTATATTTTTGGTCTTTGAACACAGGGAGAATTTTCTCAGCAAGCTCACCCTAGTAAACTTGAATAAGATTTTAATTTTACCTTTTGATTATGGAGGATCAAAATTTTCTTTGAATAAGATTAGTGTACTCTTCTGGCAATCAAGGAAAATATATGGCAGTTAAAATTTGTATTTACATGTAAAACACTTCAGAATTTCAGATTTCATTATCTGGAATTGATTAGTTTTCCTTTTGCTTTCCTAGTAGGTACAAATGGTGGTTCCTAAAAACTATTTAAGTAATGCTGCCATAGAGCTACTCTCTCTTTTTTTCTCCTTACTCTGATTACTTTCTTAATTAATGAGGCTCAAAAGGGAAACTTGTTAGCATGCCTTTAATTTAGCTGTAGTGTTAGCCCTAAATGAAATAATTGGACCTTTAAAAAATTCTTAAGTCATCTAACTTTAGCCTTGAGATTCAAGGTTGAAAAAAAAAATGATATATTTGCTGAATCTAATAGTAGTTAGAAAGATTAAGGTGAAAAGGTGATCAGTTTTTGCATACTCCTTATTTCCATCTCTCTCTGCCTTTGTACTGCTGGTCCTTTGGCCTGAAATCTTTACTTGACTTAGAGGCTGGCAGAGGACTATGATACCTTCTGTCTCAACTCAACTCAAATGCTGCTTTCTTTTTTTCTGTGACAGTAGATGACATTTCCAAGGGAACACAAAAGGTGGGGAAGCCCAGGGTTGTGACTTCGAGCAGTGCTAACATTTGTCAGTGGTAAGCAGAGATGAGCTGTAAAGGTGGCTATTTTTTTGAGACTTCATTTTAAAGAATAATTCCTAGGAAGCATTATTTGAGGAGTCCTAAGAATGCTTTTTGGCATTACTGGTCGTCTGGCAATCAAGGAAAATACATTGCAGTTAAAATGCGTATTTACATGCAAAACATTTTAGAGTATTTTATAGGAAAGGTCAGTCATTGCTGCATTCAGAGAAATGGTATTTTATATTGCCATTTAATAGGAAAGATCAGAAAGGAAGGAAAGAGAAAGAGGTCCAGAGAACTTAGACAAGACTGGTTAAGTAGACAGGTTGCTCTTTGTGGTCTCTATTCGTGACCTGGCTGCTGAGGCATTGAGTCCAAATGTTACATTCACCTGTCCCCCTGACTCCAACATACTTCGTTTGAATCAATTTTGTAATTGATGCATAATTCAAAATTATGACCGGGTGCAGTAGCTCCCGCCTATAATCTCAGCACTTTGGAAGGCCGAGGTGGGTGAATCACTTGAGGCCGGGAGTTTGAGACCAACCTGGCCGACATGATGAGACCCCCATTTCCACTAAAAAAATTAAAACAAAAACTAACAACAACAACAACAAAAACAGCCAGGCATGGTGGTGCACACCTGTAGTTCTAGCTACTCCGGAGGCTGAGGCATGAGAATTGCTTGAACCTGGGAGGCAGAGGTTGCAGCGAGCCAGGATCATGCCACTGCACTCCAGCCTGGGCAACAGAGTAAGACTCTGTCTCAAAAAAAAGAAAAAAAAAAACCCAAAACAAAAGTAAACCTGGTCACTTATATATTGTTCATTCCAAGGTGAAAATCCATTTGTCTTTCCACCGTTTAGCAAGCCAGTGTGGGAGATAGAGGCATTGGCTGCTGGCTGATTTTCATCACAACTAGGCGGGAAAGGATGGTAATTACTGAAGAATAGTGGGGTTTTTAGAGAAATGGCGTATCTCTGTTTTTTATTGCAGTAGTAACTGTTTGGACTGAGAATCAAGGCTATTTCTTTGATTATAAAGAAGGACATTCCATCCTAGGCATTTAAATGATAGATGCCAATCCTTTGTGCTTCCCAAGCATTCAAAAAAAAAAAAAAAAAAAAAAAAAAAGGTAGTAAGAACAAAGGAACCGAATCCAATCATTTAAAGAGATCCTTGAAGATTTCTCTCATGTAGCCTTTATTTGTTGTCAAATAAGTGGGTTTTTTTTTCTTACGGTAGACACTACTTTAGGTTTTCAGGACTTTTACTGTTTAGACCACTGGGATTTACAAGTCTAATATATTGAGAGCTGGAAAAGGAGCTAATATCTATTGCATATACGTGATATATCAGTGCCTGAGCTGGGTTGTCTTCATATTATCTTGTTTAATCTTTACTGTATCTCAGCTGAGATCTTTTCTTTTGGTCTGCTGATGGCAAAACAATTCTGACTTCTTGCTATACTATCCTGTTTACACTACCAAGATATTCTTGATAAGGGCTTGGATATTTCCTCTTAATTCCTGTTGCCTTTTATTACATTCCTACTTTTTTTTTTGTTTTTTTGTTCCAAATAGATCTTACCTATTCTGCTTTTTAAATTAATCTTTGTGACCATTTTATAACGCTTCTGTGGGAAAGTACCTTGTGCCATATCTGTAGAGGAATAGGAATCCTCTGTAATCCATTTCCTGTGAAAAATCAGTAATTTTTTCCTGATTCACTTACATCATTTTCTTTTATACTTTATTTTGCTGTTAAGTAACTCACTTTGGTTTTCTTGATTCTCTCTTGTAAGTTTTTGGGATACATCTCAGCTTTCTATATTTTAAATTATTCTGGAAATATATATAGATACTTTTCCAGATTATCTTTTTTTCTTTTTCTCATACCTCCTCTTTCATATCTTCCACTTTTTCTTATTGGCTACCACTGCCCCACTCAACAAATATTTATTGGGTGCATATTGCATGTTGCGCCTCGTGCTTGACACTGGGGATGCCAGCATGAGTAAGGTAGGCGTGCTTCCCTTACTCCTGTTGCTTTTACATTCCTGATGAAGTCAGTCAAGCTCTTAGTTGAAGCATAATAACGAGGAGTGGAATAACAAATGCTAATTTTGATTTTAGGAAAGACTGACATATTTTACGAAATTCAGCTTCTGTTAAGACTTAACAAGGTTATAAAAGAACATTGTTTATATTTCTCTCTGAAATTTAATCATAATATTCACATATTGAACATTTGGTATCATCAAAATAATGCTAATGACCTGTGTGTGTGGTTTTTTTTTTCTTTTTTTAAACCAGATTGGAAGCATCTGTTGGTTAATTTTTACAGGCTGTTGGAAAATGGATTAGAGTATACTAACAGGTTATTGGTGTTGGATTTGTCAAGTAAAATTAATATTAATTACTTTCATTATTCACAAACTGTTAACTTAATAGGGATTAAAGGACTTTCTGAAAGTATATGAATAGTCTAATTCACTTAGACTAATTTATTATGAAAATGTGGTTCCACAATTGTTAGCTTTCTGAAGTAATCATATTTTATAACAGGTACGTCATACGTGCCAGATAGGGCCCATAAATTGGTTTATAAATTATTTCTCAACTGAATAGTTATGGCATATGGAAAAAGTTAATGGATTATCCACTTAAAAACAAATCAAGCTTAGATTTCTGACATCATAGTTCAGTGGACAAAGAATTGAGGTAGTAAGTGATAAACATGGATTATCCCAGCAACTTGGCTGTGTTCAAGATGTTGCATTGTATTTGAAACATAATTTATTCCTCTGTACAAACAAATGTGTATAAAAATTTTGAAACTACCTCACAAGGC